GCCTCCTGCTCACCTCACGGCCTCCTCCCTCTGATAGTCCTCTGCCTCCTGTTTTTATTTTAGCTCGACCCTCTTCACTCCGGGGTCTGGCCCTTCCTTACACCCCGACCGTATATCTTGCCTTCAGTACTCTGCACTCCCCCACCTCTGCACCTCCTCCTATCTCCATCCTCCCCTAATCTCTCCTTTTGAAGCCGTTTGGTGCAGCCCGTAGTTATCCAGAGCCGCGGTGTTTTCATCTTAGCCCTGCAGCTTTTCACCTCTCCCCCCTGAAAGCTGTGACCCCTCCGTTGCCTCTTGTAATATATATAAATAGTACACACTGAATTAGAGAGAGAGAGTGTGTGTGTGTGTGTGTATGATTTGAAGAAATATCTCACCCAGATTGTGCGATGACAGAAAAACATATCGCGTCATATATTCAGCTCGTTTATTTCACCTGGCTGTCACGTTTATTTCAGCTGCCGTTTATTTGGATGACATTTTACCTCCTCGCACACAATGCAGATGGTGGGGCATTAAATCTGAGAAAGAATTATAAAGAAGACGCTGAGGGAGCTGTCGGTTATGGATCACAGACAGGGATGAGAGCAGAGCAGAGGAGAGTCGGTAGTTAAAATCTGGAGAGAGTCACAGCTACAGAGTCAAAGTCCAGACAGTGATATTAATGATGTAGCACAAGCTAACAGAACACATTTTTCCTTCTCACACAAAAACACTATATATATATATATACATATATATATATATATAAGTATATATATATATATATATATACACTATTGAAAGTATAAGAAAAATACAAAGAAATGTATATTGTAGTTTATCTATAACTAAAATAGACATACAAGTCTGTTCCATAGTGTAGCGGTTAGCACGGCTGCTTTGAAATAGTCCTGGGTTCGATTCCCAGAGGAACCACATGCGTGGTGCTTTCTGGGTTCAACATGCATTGATTTATTTTAGTGACTGTGAGAAAAAAAAGCTCTCTCTCAGATCCAGACTCAGAATGTGCAGCTGTCCGCTTCAGCACCGGTTTCCTTTTTTTGTTTCTACATTTTCGTAGAGATGTCCAAAATGTTTAGTTAACAATGATAATTAATTTATTCTATTAATTGGAATTAAATTAAATGCATTATCAGGAAGACGCAGACTTTACAGCCAATAATTCCACCGTCCGTCCATTTCTCGTTGCTGTTGTTGCTAACTTTTATTCCAAAATGCCAGTCCAAACCTCCTTTTTTTTTCTAGAACGTTCTAAGATCTAAAGCTCATCCACTTGCTGGCGAACACCACCCCCATACGTCAAGGTCCAATTAAAGCATTTAATCATAGAAGCAATCAGCCCTAATGGTTTGGACAAAGAAATAAAGAAATTAGTAGAAATGAATGAAATAAATGTCGTCTCCGATTCATTTACCGTGAAACTCAATACGTTTCCTCGCTGAAAGAAACTTAGTCAAACTTAGTAGATCAATATATTTTTATATATATATATTTTATACTTTTTTGGTATCATTTCTGTGGATTTTCTTCTCACACAGTATGTGCTGTGGCTGCGGGGAACACCGCACTGCTGCACGTCTGAGGAGGGTTAGGTGTTGGTTTATTTAGTCTTTCCCTCACAGCAGTTAACACGAGGCATAAAAGATGTCCTCCGCAGGAAGAAAAGAGAGTGTGAGCAAGCAAATATAGAAGTGCGTGAGTGTGTGTGTGTGTGCGTGTGTGTGTGTGTGTGTGTGCGTGTGTGCGTACACTCTAATGGTGTTTAATTCACAGACTAATGGTTCCAGCAGGGAATCCTTGAGAGGAGCTTGAGTCCAGGTCGGCCTGACTGCTGGCAGCACCATCCCTCATCCTGATACCACATGGAGGTGAGTGAGCCGGGGGAGTGCACACACTCACACAGAATCAGAGAGAGAGAGAGAGAGAGAGAGAGAGAGCATCACTTCAGTCCTGCACTGACAAATTTACATGCTGTAAGTGTGTAACTGGATGCGTTTGAAAGCATTTAGTTACACATTTACAACTGTTACATTTCTTTTTTTTAATTTGACCTCTATTTAACCTGACAAGACAGATTAAGAACACATTCTTGTTTACAGCCGTGGCCTGGAAAAAAAACAATCTCCTTTACACACGTGCTGTTTTTTTATACTTTGGGGGAAGTCAACATTATTGTAGAATTGGTAAATTAAAAAATAAGTAAGTAAAATAGGTAAAATTAAATATTCATTAAAAACAAAATACACCAACAATTTCCAAATGTAACATGAACTAATGAGTCTCATAATACAAAAAATATAAAATATAAAATTAAAACAAGCCCTTCTTCAGATAATAAACAAATAAGACAGACGTGACTGGAGCCAGAGCCAAAAAAGAGGGATGAAAAAAGATGGAGGATTGAATGTAGACTGGTGGTGGAAATGATATTGAAAATCCACTTTCTTTTACTGGCTCATTTCTCCAGCTATCTTCTAGCCTTTTCTAATGCATAATTAATCCAGTAAGAAAGGTACGAAATGAATATCCTGGATGTCAAGATTTTTTTTTTTGTTCACTTCATCTTTCTTTCATCTGTACACACACACACACACACACACACACCTCTCCTGTGTCTGCATGTATTTATTACTACTACGTGTGTGTGTGTGTGTGTGTGTGGGTGTGTGTTGACATGCTCTCGTGTACCTCGCTGGATTAAGTCAGCGTGTCCCTGGTGATCCAGGTGTAATTGGGTTAGAGACAAGCAGGACAATGTGACACCTGCAGGTCTCAGCTGTGCACTGGCCTGGAGTCAGCTGGAGCTCTGTCATCTGGACCGGGCTGGGACGGCTCCTGGGCTGGACACTCCACGGGCACAACACAAATATCAGTCTTAATGCTCACCTTTTGTCTCTGAACAAAAGAGAAAAGACAGAAAAAGATCTTAAGACCGTCATGGGCTTTACTTTTAGAACTTCATCGTGAACCCTGAATCCTAGCTTTAGTCGTATTACTGCACATCTGGGATCGTTTGTTTATGCTACATCACCATCCTTTGAGTCACGCGATGTTTAAGGGGTATTACGTATCCCCCAATCCTGCTTAGCATCATAGCTAATGTTGTTCCATTACAGACATCGGAGGTAGCATAGCCAGCTTTGTGGTTTTATAGGAAACAGTTGGAGAAAAGTGAGGCCCAAACAGTTTTTATCTGCACTTTGTTTTTTGTGTATTTGCCAGAGGACCAACCTCACAGGAGGTTTACATAGACACGCTGGCCGGGAAAGCACTTGTTAACATAGTCACAGTTTATAAATTTATTGAAACCACAAGTGAAACAACATTTTGGCTGCACCAGATGACAGATGTGACAGTTTCTCAGCTTTGCTTTGAAAAAAAAAAAAAACGCCTGACTTCTGTTGACAAATATCACAAAGTCACAAGCGGCAAATGAACTCTGTTGGTGTGTGACAGTTCCAGGATGCCCTCCTCTGCTCATCAGACACAACTTGCGATCACAGACTGATATCATCACATAGCGGTCTCTCTGTCACATCACATTTCTGCTGCTCATGTCTAAGAACTGTCTCTGCAGGCCCGAGTGGCGGCGGACCATGCTAACCAGCGCCACGCCATCGGAAGCTAATAAATCATCTGCGGTTTTATTTCAGATTTATTCGGACTGTAATGAAGACGCGACGGGCTCCGGGCCATAACCGACGGCGACAGGATGACACTGATGAATGGCTAAAGGTGTGTTCTGTGGGAGAGGCAGGACTGTCAGGACGCTCTGGTGTTCTGTGTGTGGGGAGACAGGAATCAGACGCACTGCAAGAAACAGTTCCATCACACTGTGGTCCTGTACAGTAGATTACTGCTAAATATATCATTAGTACTCTCTGAGCACGGAACAGCAGGAGAGTTAGACCTGGAAACACTTGTCTTCATCGTCGTCATCGTCCTCATTAACAGGATTGACCTGATCATCAAAATGACTAATAAAGCACGTCATCGTTGTTAACAACGCCGTCGAAGGCATCACTGGAGATCTCAGTAAATATCAAACCGTGAGCGGCCGGGCCTGTGTTTTACAAGTAAAGAATTATGGGAAACATTTAGGACGATGAATTGAAGTGATTCGTTTATTTGAATCAACCTAACGTGGCATTTTTCATATACCAAAAAAAACTTGTTGACCACTGGCATGTAGGTGGCCGACAAGTCCCAGGTAAAAAAAAAAGTATATATGTGTGTATATAAAAAATAAAAACAAATAAACTTGTATTATATTGATCTCATATTTGGGAAATTGTCATGTTAGCAGCAGATTTGCTCAGGGAATCAAACCCAGGATTCTCTGCTTCTGAGACAGGTGTGCTAACCACTACACTATGGAACCGATATGCCCACAGTGCTTTATTAGTCATTTTGATATATTTTGATATATTAAAATGACATATAAATATGTATTCCCATCCGCTCCATCCATCTCTCCTCACATCTATCTACTTAAACATCTATTGACTTTCAGTGCCACCATTAACCCAACCTGGGCCCATGTAGTGTGAGTAGAAATATTTATAGTCATCGTCTGCTCCCACTGTAGCATCACCTCTGTTTTAATTACCCTGTTAGCATTATTGCCCCCATAACCATCAAAAGCCTCCCTCAAACCAGTGCCTTTACCCTCTGTTAAATGCTGCCCATTCTCATCCCTAATGGACATTAACGTCATGGTTTCATCGCTGGCGTTGATGATGAGGAAGGTTCCCATTATCTTCATCTTCGTCAGTGGCTCTTTTAATAAACACAAATGTCTCAACTAGGAACGTGTACAGTACAGGGTCAGTCAAACAGTTGTAAGACGGATATTTTTTATTTCAAAAGACGTCTGATTTTGAAATATCTTCATTGTTATTTTTCATTTTTCTTTAGCATTGGCTGTAGTACGTTGACTGGTTTTTATATATATATTCTCATTCTGAGTCAACAATCTTTTTTTGAATTATGAAATTATGAATGTTTTGAGAAAGGATTTGATGGATCTCCGTCAGGTTTTTTTTACTCCAAAAAGAGTGATGTGACTGATAGAAACACCACTTAAAGAAGTGCTTACATTTATATTCAAATAGAGGATGTAAAAACTAATACCTTTTTTATATATATTTAAAGTAAATACATGTTGTTATTAATTCAGGGCTTTTTGACTCTCATATATGCTGACAAATCTGTAATTCATATATAAATGCAAGGATAAATGTCAGAACAATAAACCAACTCTCAGCTCAGCTCGTCCTGTTGAGGAGAAGCTGCCATTGGAGACGATGCCAATAATTTTAGCATCATTCCCAAAGCCACGCCGTCATTGTTTGCGTTGCCTTCACTTTCAGTGTGTCTTTACTCCATTACATTGACTGTGTGTTTTGATAGCTCTTTCTGTGTGTCATCACAGTCCTCTCTGACGGCCAAGGACAAATCGACTGAAGTGACTCGATGCCTCAAGCCTGGCAGCTTCCACTCGTGCTGTCAATCAATGAATCCATACCCGGCTCGTCTCAGCCGGACCTGACACGGTCTGGCACAGCACTTTGTGAAGAGCAGGGAAAGGCATGAAAGTGTCATGGTGCACAAGATATCTGGCAACGCACTGTGAGCGTTGCCATAGAACAGAATACACATGTGATATTGGTTAAATATCACGAAAATGTAAAAAAAGAGAGAGAGACAGGGAAAAAAGACAACATATTGAAAATAATAAAAGATGGCAACAATATTATATAAAATAGAACAATAGAACAATTTTGAGCTGCAAAAAAAGCAGCTCGAAATTGCTTTTTTTGCAAATTCGAGCAAACAATTTGCTCGAATTTTTTCCTTGTACAAAAAATAATTGTAGCCATAAATTGCTAATTGCTAATATGTAAACAATGGCAAAAATAAGTAAAAAGTTTGAATAGGAGGTTTGAATCCTGCAGCCAACAATGACAAGAAAATCTCTTAATCTTTTAACTTAATCTGCTGTATAAGTTCATGGGGTCAAAGGTCACACAAAGTTTGCTGGCTTTCATTACCGTCCGTCATTTTCAGGGTAGACTGCATTAACTTCAGTGAGTGAATGTAATGAATGAAACGTGCAGTGAGTCCACTGTCTCTGCTAATGTACCGGTGTAACCTACACAAGGTCAGTGTGTGAGTGTGAGTGTGCCGTCACTGCTACAGCCAGTCAGGGTAATTACCACTGTTTGTCTGTGCGAGACCTTACAGGCTGACAATCAGCATGAAAGAAGAGACAACACACACACTGCTCTTTTACACCGAACTGGCAGCATCTCTCTCTCTCTCTCTCCTTCCATCTTTATCACACGCTCCTCACACACACACACACACACTCTCTTTCACCACAGCTGTCACTCAATAGCTTCACAGGCCTCCGTCACTGTAATCTCCTGTTGGGTTATCTGCCCTGTCCCTCACCGCTCTAACGGCTCTTCTTGACCTCCTAATGAAAACATCTCCGCTCTTCACCGTGCAGTTTAACGAGGTATCGGTACATCCTGTGGGTCTTTACGGTTTTTTTCTTCCTGTAAATACGGGCTTTTAGAGACGTGGAACAAAAGAAACACCTAGGAGTGCAACGAAGGCAGGTAATTAGAGCTCAAGGCCCTTCTCTCCTAACGAACCTGATGGTAATTAAAGACCCCCAGGACACGGGTGTGTCTGCGAGCTGCTTCTAATTAAACCCCAGCGAGCTGATTTAGCTAATTAGCTAAAAGGCTCGATGTTGGACACCGAAGCCTTCCAGCCCCTCGGCAGAACACAGGAAGTTCCAGCGTTTCCACGCCGTCCCTGGCAACGCGCTCATTTCCTGGGGCATTAATCAACTAGAGTTACAACAGTTTCAAAGGTGACTGCCATGTGGGAACAGCGTGAAGAGGAGCGAGGTGCCCAGACCTGAGGCTAATAGGTGTGGACCGTTTTTGCGGTGAAGTCCCAGAATAGTGGGACCGATCAGTCGTCGCTGGTATGAAAGGTATGAACTTGAAGTCGGTACAGAATGACCATAAAACATCACGACGGCACGTCCTGTACTGTAGGCATGTTCAGCACGTCTAGTACGCACGACAGTAATTAGAGTTCCAATAGTATATAATTGTGTCATAATTATACGTACATAAATCGATCAAAGAAAGCGACGATTGAGAAGGACTGCTGTGAACATTCTCAGACATGATAATCAAACTTGTTCACTTCTTCAAAGGGGAACGAACAAAACAATTTTACAGCCGCAATAAAACATTCTGACAAGTTTATTGAACTCAAATCAATAACGCAAAAATAACAGACAAGTTCAAGAAGATAAAAATGCAGTTGCGCCCTCATCATTTGAACATTGAACCCGCCCCACGCTTTAAGAAGCAATGGTTTACAGTGTTCCAGCTCAGGTGAAGAGTCGACTAAAACTGGAGGTCGAAACCATTAGCTTGTCTGAGAAACTTCAGTGACTTCTTCACACAATGTTTCTGTCACATTTTGAGCTTTTTGTCCAGTGATTCCCAACCTCTGTGCCGTGGCACACTAGAGTGCCGTAAGAGATCGTTAGGTGTGCCGTGGAAAATGATCAAATTTCAATTAATTGGTCCAAAAACTATTATTTATTTATTGCAAATAATTTTCTTTGTCAGTCAATGCGTGACAGGCAGAGCAATTAAATACTCTTCTGCTAGGTGGCAGCAGATGGCTATGAAAACTAAAAATAGTCAGAGCTGTTGAAGATCTTTGTGAGTGTCTTTCTTCAATTCCTGCCAGTATATCAGCATTGTCTTCAACTATATTATTACATTTCATTGCATATACTTTTTGTAAGATTTTTGTTTGGTTTGGTGGTGTGCTGTGGAGATTTTCCTGACGATATATATGTGCCAGGGCACAAAGAAGGTTGGGAACCACTGTTGTAGTCTATTTGTGGGACAATCCTGGTGTTATTATGATTCCCATTATCAAAGATGCCTCAGACACAGTACAAGAGCTTGTAACTCCTCCTCTCTTGTCACCTGCATCACTAGATCACATGTTTCTCAAGTCTTCCCGGAAATCACTGAACTTTCCGGAGCCCTGATACATCCCAGAGCAGACATCCATTTCATCGACCTCCTCCTCATTTCCATCTCTCTCTCTTCTTCTCCACTCTCTGTAGCTGGTGTCACCAATAACTCAGCTTCCAACTTTATAGCTGGAGCACATCTGATCCCCATTCATTTCCGCAGCGAGAGAGGGAAAGCCAGCGTTGGCCACTAAGACCCTGATCAATCATGATCTGGCACGACAGCCTGTATTAGAGGAGGAGGAGATGAAGGCACGGAGAGATACGGAGCAGGGAGGGAATATCACATATTCAGACTTTGATATTTCTCTCTGCGAGATGCATGTGATTTGTCAGCACCAGCAGATGTGATCTGAAGACGGTCAGAAAGGGAAAGTATGAGAGGAGGCTGGGGGAGAAAAAACACATCTCGGGCCCGGTTCGTTATTAAGAGATTAAATCTCATCTCTGACAGACTTGTGACTGTGGGAGACAGAATCGAGCACGGCCGGTAATTTGACCAGTTCCCCATCTCAACGCTGCTCAGTCGGCCGATGACAGCCGGGCGACAGTGTGTTGAATATGCAAGCCGTCCCTCTCTCTCTCTCTCTCTCTGTATTCCGCTGTCCCTCTAAACTCCAGCATCTACCTCACCGCTGAACGTCATCCCGGCTGCCACACACACAAGGACACACACTAAAAATATATGCGCGCACACACAGCCCTGCGTTACATTTGAAGCATTTGCATTCGTACAGAGAGGTTGTGACCTCCAGAGATATTGACAGTGAAGGCTTACAGGTTCACTTCTGTCACACGGGTGTTGTAAGCGAAATTAATTTTTCACTTGCGAGCGTTAGCATCTCCCACTCTCTCTCTCTCTCTCTTTCTTTGTGTGCATGTGCTGACACTTCCTGTTAGCCTGATGTGCAGATCCTTCCAGCACACCCACGGTGCATCCAGTCAGGCCAGGTGTTATTTTAACGCTCACTTTCGGAAGATGAACGAGGGACGTTTTCCTCCTCCTCCCGCTCCTCTCTCTCACATAAACTCATCCCCCTGCTACTCTTCTTCTTCTTCCTCTTCTTCCTCCTCTCCCCCTCCCGCCCCCCAGTATCATCTCAGCATTCGGCTAAGCCTGACCCAGTATTACTGTGACATTATGGGGCCACTTACCGCCCTGCTAAAATAAACCCCCAGTGAAGGAGACGTGTGACAGAACAGGGTCACAGCACGCCGTTGCACAAATTAATCAAACAAATAAACGAGGAATTTAGGCTTAAACAGAGAAGATCTCCCCGCTCTCCCACTCTCCCCCTCCTCCCCCTCCTCCTATCACTGCTCTTGCCTTGCAGAACTAACAGAACACTTGGACATACGGACAGTCATGCATGCGTTTGATCATCTACACAAAAACGTCTCACACTGAAGATGTGAAGAAAAGACCAAACTGAGCTGCATGACAGTGGAAATAAAAAACACAAGTCAAAACATCTTAGCTTTGACTTGGCTTTTTTCCTTTGTCACATATTATAAAGGACCTTTGATGGTTTTATATGGAAAAAGCTAAATAGCTATGAAATGCTATCTCACGACCTGTGAGTCAACCCTGGACTGGAGTCAACCCCTCTTCTGTTTTGTAAAAAATGGCAACCTGCTCATAACTTTACTGTTAACATTGCTCTCGTAATCAATCGTGTCATCGTGACATCAAGTTCTGTTCATTGTCACAGTCGCCCCCTACATTCTTCAATCTGTGACAACCATCCACTTCCTGTGGAATGTTACAGCTTCACAAAGTCTTTTGTGACCCTCACCTCAAAGATACCTTTTCAAAAATGAAACTTCTTTCATGCTGGGTCAACCTCTCTGCAGCCCAGGGCCTTCACTGTGTGACAGAGTTTAATAAATGGCAAGAAAGTCCTCGTCCAACAGCCGAACTACATCAGGAGTTCACTGTACTGATGGCGGTTGTGCACTAACTTATGTTTGTCACCTGTTGATTAAAAAAAAAACACGTCTAAATTTCAAAAGGATGTTTGCACTTTTGCGACCACATACTATATATATACATATATACAGATGTATATATTTTATTTATACTATTATTATTTTATATGTATAGATGTATATATTCTAATTTCCACTGGGTAATTAGCAGTTGAAATGTAATCTAATTTGTTTGTCATTGTTAGGCCCATTCAGTGCCACCTGCAGGTTAACCTGTATACTTTTAGTCTCCTTGTGCTACCCTGCATCTTATCTCTCTGACATACAGTGATTAATGGTGAAACTTGATCCTTGAACCGTTACTATTGTCACATCCTGGCTTTAGCTGCAGGGCACGTTCACAACTGTGATACCACAGAGGTGCTACTCCATGTTTCTACTTTAAACCAAAATCAACAGCCCCTGGTGTGAATGTCTCACTCCAGTCAGGAATGTTGACTGTCGTCCAGATCACGTTGGCCAGCGTGTGTTGCTGCACCACTCCACTTCCTCTACCGTTTCCATTCAAAGGCTATAAATAACCATCCTATCTATTTTACTGCTCCTCAAAGTTTTGCAAGCGCCTCAGGTTACGGTCGTAATTCACTTTTCAACAATGGGATTTCAAATAAATGTCACGGCTTTGCAGAAATTTTTGCAAATATCTTCTGGCAACTTTTGGATGGATCTATGTGACTACATTTAACTACATTTTAGCTTCATATTTTTTGGCATGTTGTTAGACAATTGTAGCCCTTTCTCTAATTGGGTTATTATTGGTTTTGGGTATAATTGTGGATTTGCATAAATTGGGATAGTTTACTTGTGGTACAATAGTTTTTACGAGCATGTCGGCTAATTTTATGCTATTTTTGTTTTCTTCTTTTCTAGGCTATATATATACACATATATGGAATTTTGTCTCTCTTTTTTTGTGTGTTATTTTCTTGTATTTTGCTAACTTGTACACTTTTAAGCTACAGTGCTGCCATTCTTACTTCCATGTTTGGATGACCTGCTATTGTTTGTCAACCAAGTAAGAGCCGAACACTTTTGACAGCATAACGTACGTAGCAACAGACAATGTGAAATGTTTTGATACAAGGCCTCGCAGGACATTTTCACCAAGGTTTTGCAAAAGTATACAAAGAATCTAATCCTACTGAAAGTCTAAATAAGGTTTTAACCATCACTACGTTTGAATCACACATTTATACTCAAACGACCACAGCGACGGTGTAGGAGTTGTCGGAGTTGTTCATGCTAACCTGTAGTCACTCTGTCGTCTCTCACCACCTTCAGGTCGTTCCCAGTTACAGGCTGATTACCATAAGGACGGCCCACTCCACATGCAGGCAACATCTTGATTAATCTGCACGATGACAGTGCGACTCTTGATGGGGACAGCTCCCCATTGATCTGTAATGAAACCATTGAGCTGCATGACGAATGGAGGCAAAGGAAATTTGTGAACGCATGAGTAATGAAAAAATAAATTAAGTAATTGGATTGGCTTAATTATTTAATTCATTCGGTGAGACAAAAGTTTGCTTACCAAGTCAAATGTGAAGGGTGAGATCAGGTGAACGACAGGGTTTTGCCTCCAGCTTTTGGGCTGACGTGTTATCGGTGATTGGTTCTCAAATGGGGGTATGCATATTCCAGTGGGTACTTAAAGGCATTTGGAGAGCACACTTCTTTTAGTAAAAATAGCTTTTTCAATAAACTTATGTATATTAAATATTTTGGATTCAGATTATTGTTATTGAAGACAGGACTTGATGTTTTTATTTTTTTCGTATGTATTTTTTATGTACACATGTTTTTCAGTTATTAGTTATTATCTTTAGTTTGGTTTTTTTAAGCTTCATTACTTCCATTTAATATGTTGGGTTTCTGAAGTTTAATAAATTAGTTACTGACGACACAAGGCATTTTACATCATGTTTAACCTGCAGTGCTTCGCCCTGGTTAAAGGATACTGGGCTGACAAACAGAAGGTAGATGACTGATAAAGGTGGAGGGTAACTGTGTTAGCTACATGATCTTCATAACGCACATCTGGGTGTCATTTCTCACGAGCTGCTCAATTAAAAACAACAGCGTTGTTTCTTTTCTCTTTTTTTTCTATTAATAAGGATGATTTAGTGTCTTGGTGGAGACTTAAATCTGAGTTTCTTCTTATATGTGCCATCCAGAATGCTGAGAAAAAGCTTCTGGGATTCACATTCCACATTTTTCCATCTGTTGCCTGCTGTTACAGAGTGTGTGGGACGTTTCCTGGACCTGCTGTCAGGGCTGTGAACTTTTCCAGGGAAAACACGAAGCCCTTCTGGATCCGTTCCTGAAGAGCTGCGTTTCAGCGTATGTCACAGCTGGCATTACAGCATTAACTTCAATGGAACTCAAATGGAAAGCCTGCTCAGAGCTTCCATAACTCACATCATAAATAGGCACACATTCTGGGTCTTTCTCCAGCTTGGTAGCCAACCTTAAATTTACTGCATTTGGAGAGCACAGCGGCTGACTCTGCTAATGACGTATAGCACTGAGGACGGCGTGTCTGCAAATCCCCCTGCATGCTCTCCAGTTACTCTCACATTCACCTTCCCTGTCTCCACCGACACGTTTAAATGTCCAATAAAATAGTCCGATTTTTTTTATTTCTTTTTTAATCCAAGGAAGAACATTGCTGAGTTTGCATGTTTCTCAGCCAATATGTGAGTCCACTGTCTACACTGAGATGTACCCACACCTGGGAGCTCCAACTGCTACCAGAATGTTCCACCACCGGCTACATCCAGCACACTGTATAACAATCAGTTGGAGCGTCTAAGGCCGTTCACTTCAAGTTATGTCATGTAGTTTTACTTTTCAACTGTTTAGTTATTCATATACTTACATACTGTAGGCTGCTTGAGAAACATAGAACACACTTTAAATTAATGCCAGTTCTAAGAAAATGGTCTTGTCACCAACTACATACCTTATTTACATACTCTGGTGCAACTTGTATATTAAAATATATAATTTCACATATTCGTTATTTTCTAGGCTTGTGTACCAGTATCTGCTACTCCTGTACCACTGAAAACTTACATGTTCGGTAAGTAAACAGACAGGGGGTGACCCAGCCCTTGTTTCACACACGAGTCAGGATCTAAAAACTAAAACTATGACTGAAATTATGGCGAAGCAGGACTGTCATTAGGACTAGCCTTCGTCTGTGTTTACATAGCGGCGTTACTTTAGTGTTTTATTTATATTAATGACTACAAAAAATATATAAATGACGTCGACTTTCATTACGGTGGGCTTGCGCTCTGGCAAGTTCTAATATATATATATATGCTTTTTCAGTCAATTTTATTGTACATCCACATGTAAATTCAATGGTGAAACAGCTGGTGCGCATTTTGAATTTAAATTATTAATTTATGTAGATTGTCACCAATGAGATTTTCTGTTACAGTTGTCAAAGCACGCTCTTTCTATCAAACAAAAAGTTCCAAGAGACTAAACACACACACAAAAAAAGAAAGAAAAAAAAGAATGTGATGGGAACGTCAGCGGTCAAGGGTAGGGAGCGCGCTGATATCGGAACGTTTGTTTAACGGAAGTGGGAATACGTTGTACGGGCCTTATTTCCGGTGGCAGTTCCGGCGCATGAGGCACGCGTGTTAGCCGTTTGGGCTTCCAGCGGGCGTTCATGTGAAAACCTGGGCAACGTGGCTACATCTGATTTATTGAAATGGTGGGTTTTTTGAAACAGTAGTCGGTTATATTTTGTTTGAAATTGTAGTCGTTCGGTCGAGACCGTTAGTGCAAGTTACGCTAGCTTACGTGTCTCGGTAGCAAACGTTAGCTTTTGTCAGAAATTAAAGTGATTCGTAGTTAGTATTTCGTCCTAAACAATTAACATAGAGGTGTCGGGGTAAATAATTTAAGCTGGGCTGATGCACCTTTTTGAAAATATGACATTAACTTGCAAATATTGCTTTTCTGTACAGAAACCCATCCTGCTGCAGGGCCACTACTTCAGGCCTCTCCTGTTGGGTGGGCCGTTGGGGTCATCTGAGTAAGTGTAAACAGTCGTAGTAATCCTCAACAGAATTGTTTTTGTGTGTGGGTGATTGTGTTGTGTCTCAGCTCACCTCCTCTTGAGTGAAAATCTCATGTCCAGTTGTCTAACGGAAATGTTCAACAAAGAAAAGAGTTGTTCTTCTCCTTTTAACTCTTGGATTTGTTGTTGTTTATATATGTATGGAATTGTGAGGTGACCCTCCAGTCATTTGTGCTTGAGACCCCTGCTCCAAAGTAGAACAACAGAAAGAAGTGAATTATAAATGTATTTGAAGATATTTATTGATAGTTTGTTATTCGAGTATGTGTAAAGTGAAGTAAACATTGACAATTTGCTGGGGGTTATAAGGAGATACACTAAAAAAACACCCAGTAGTAGGTGTGGTTACTTTTAGTGTCCCATTAATTTACAAAGATGTTTTCCTTCAGTCTAGGTGTGTTGGTCAATCTGTCCGTACTACAGACCTTGTAATGTGAATCCACTGAGTTATATTCTGAAATAGACTTTTGAGTATGTGATGTACATCTTAGGGGAAATCAGTGGTACAGTTTGAAATGAACTGACAGTGATGGTTTTGTGTTAGTTTTTAGTGTTGACAGATTGCAGTCCAATAAAGGACTAAGTGACTTGACTGTCTGTGACTTTAAGGCCTTCAAGAGAGATGAGTGCTTGAATAAAAGTTTGCTGAGTTCAAAGCTGACAGCGTGAGGCTGTTAAAGGTTCTTTGTCAGCCACCCAGATAGTGGAGTAAAAATGAAATGACTATTTGTTTGTTTTGGAATCCAAGACTTGGAGTGATGATGTTGTGGAAATGACTGAGTGCCATGTGTTCTCTCCACAGCTCTTTGACTCTGCCTTTCTGGATCACATGAAGACTTGTAAAACTGAGAGACCGGTGAATTCTGCTGCCATTTCTCCAGTCAGGTAAGATGAAGTTGTCACTGTACAATATATGTCCTAGTAGATCAACAGTGACCTTGAACCTTGCAATTGTGTGTGTGTGTTGTAGGTGGTTATGGGAGGTGAGTTGTGGTGTTGGCATTAGCACTGAAGAAGCCACAACTTTGTATTACAGTTGATAGTGAGCAGTCATAGTGATGTGTAAACATGTAGTGGTTGGCAGTGCTGTTGAAGTGACTACATTGTAGCTGCTTTTAAGGAGAACCTGTTTGTTTGTGTTAACATGTGGCACAATGCTGTGTTCTTCTAATCTGCAGGTTCTTCCTTGCTATGTAGGAGGATGAGTTTAGCAGGAGTCAAAGGTCATGTTGGTCCCATCAACCGTGTGGCTTTCTACCCTGACAGCAACAGGTAAATGAGACCAACACAGCATTTGATTGTGATTCCAGCTCGTATTTGTCATTCCATTCATTGCGCCTCCTCTGCTATTGTTGTTTACAGATGCAATGGAGGAGAAGACGGACATGTGACATGGAGGCCTGAAGTGTTAGCCTTGGACTCTGCCAGGTAGAGTGAAGGAGCAACTGTTGTTAGTTGACTTAGTATGTTTTTTTTTTAGCTTTATTAGTACTTAGTATATTTGTTAGGCTTTTTTTGTAGTTAGTAATGTAGTGTAATCACTGTAACTGGATTGCTATTGTTAACAGATTTTTTTTGACTTAGCATGCTATGTCAAAAAATTCTGTTAATAGCATAGCACTACTATACTATGAAATTATAGTCCAGAAAATACGGTAATCCACATTTCCTTGTCACAGTTGCTGCAGAAGAACTGTTTCATTTTCTTTTTTAACCTCTCAGAGTTTAACCCAGTTCTCTTCTCTTCCTGCTTTGCCCCTCAGCTCAGCTGAATCGCCGCTGTATGTTTTCAAACAAAGCTAATGTTCAAAATCATTTTCCTAACGAGTGTAGATAACAGTGAGAGTGTGTGTTTATATGCGGCGCGTGCAGGTCTCCCTGTTGCATCGTATCGGAGATCATTGTGCATCCATCAGTATGCCGTTAAGCCGTGCCGGTGAGAATATGAAATGGATCTCACTTTGGGGCTATTGCTGATCAATGCTCATAAACATTTAATGTCATAATTAGCCGTCAGGCTGCACAACAACGCATCGGCACTAACTGTTTTTGGGCGCGGACAGCGATACGTGCGACGCTCCATAAACGCACGTGCACATAAGTGCATGGGCAGGTTTGTTCGTGTCGTGAAACATCTCATTGTGTTTGTGTATCTGAACGCGTACTACAGAGGTGGAGACAAGGTGCAGACACCATCATCAAATATCTCACCTCACACACTATTAAACAAACCCACACCATCAACCATTCGGAGGGGATAAAATTAGCCGTGTTCTCTGGGAGGGTTATGATGTTCTGCCATGTTGAGAATGAGAGATGAAAGAGCAACGGGGGTGAGGGAGGAAGAAGGGGGTGAGGGTGGTGGGGTGAGAGTGGAGCATTATCCAGGGAGGGCTTTACAAAGTAAGCCAATTTATACAAGGTATCCCAACTCGAATTAGCGGCTAATGACTCTATTAGCTTTCATTTTTGCACCGAGGAGATTTTGCCGCATAAATTAGGGCCCGATCATTGGCAAAGTGTCACGGCTAAAGGACAGTTTATAAATACAACAGCCAGGCCCTGTCAGACACAGCGGCCTCTGATATAGACGTCTCTGCAGACTTTGTCGTTGAGCCCAACAGACTTGTGCCAGTCAGACAGTGACAGGGGACCACTGGGATCCCAGGGGTAGCTCGCTCGCCGTCGTCCCTGAAAAGGTCAACTTGACGCGGGCACAGCCCATCGACCTACCCCCCTGTCGGCTCCGCTGATAAAAATCAGATAAACTTAAGACCACTTATCGATCCCGGTTGCGGAGCCTTAGGCAAATGTTGGCTAAGCCCCTCACCTCCCTCTCGTCCTCTCCTCCTGTGCATATGATTACACCCCGGCAAATTAGAAGAAGATGGAGGATAAATGGCGGAGGAAGAGAGAGGGAGAGAGAAGAGGAGGCGGAGGCAGTGGTGCTAGTCTGGGCAAGAAGGGAAGGAGGTGGGATGTTATTAAGAGGTGAGGGGATGAGAAGTGGGAGCGGGACGGTAAGATTAATCGTAGAAATTTGAGCTCAGACAGGGAAATTTCATTAACTATGAGAGCACTTGTTAGAGCTAAATGGTCAGACGGAGGAGGTGAGGGAGGTGGAGGGAGTCGATGAGACTAGAGAACCTGTTCAGGTTCATGGTTTAAACTGGGATTTAGATTGTTTTTAACTATTCTTTACTCTTTGGTCAAGATGACCTGATAAAAGGGCGTTAAAATAATATCTATAATTAATAATGTTCCTTTAGGTTTTGAATCACAAGTATTTGAAGTATACCTGCATGTACTAAGTACAGATTCTCAGATACTGTTGATACTTTTGATGGACTGTTGATGACAAAATCCTCACATTTTTTTGCTTCTGTACATTAAAACACATTGTTCTTAACCCATTAGACTATTGGTCAGTACAGTTGACCCTTGGACCTTCTTATTTATGACTGAGCCTTTCCCTGATGATCCTTTTATACACATCCAAGGCACTCATTTGTTTCCAGTTGATGTATTTACCTGTGGTTTTTCCCAGTCTTGCGTCACCCTCATTCCAGCTTTTTTCTTTTGGAACGTGCTGCAAGCTTCAAATCCAGAATCTGTGAAAAACTGTCACATTAAATATTCTGTCATTTTGAATCTTAAATCAATGCATTAAAGTTTAAAAAAATTGAGAGTGCGCCTTTATTCTCCAGTGTGAACTATATATGAACTGGTGAAAGTAGGGACAAAGAGAAAAGTTAGGACGTACACACAACGCAGTCCTGCACATGTACCTTACTCTCTTTTGCCAAAAAGCAGTCCACTGATCTACTCCCCGGTGTGGAGATAGGACACAAAGGGAGACGTGAGGGTCGAAGACTGAAAGCAGCTGTGGGAGGGAAGGAGGGGAGCGTAAGGAGGGGAGCCGGGAGTCAGAGTTAGAAAAGAAAAGAGCAAAGTACGGACTAACTGTGGAGAGACAGAATTAGAACAAAACTCCAGCGCGAGTGTGGAGAACAACACAGAGGTTGGTCACATGTGGCTGCTAACGCCTTCACCCCAGTAATCAGAGCACACATCCTCTGCTGCTCCACTCTCCATCCTCTCACAGCTTCTCTCCTTCCAGGCACCAGCGTCTGTCTGCTGCCCTCTGCTCCCACACTATCTGCCCACGCTTCCCACCTCCGTCCTCTCACCAGGAGTCTACACGACTCCCTCTGCACAAACTCTGCACATCCAGTGTGTCTGTGTGTGTGTGAGAGAGAGAGAGTGTGTGTGGAGGCTCTCTCTGTCTCTCTCAGGGGGCCAGGCATTACAGCTCGGGGCAAAAGGGTGCAGATAAGGAGACAGGAGTGTGACATGAGTAGAGGCCGATGACCACAGATAACATACTTTCTTGTGTGTCTGTGTGTGTGCGCGTGTGTGAGGGAGGCCCACACTAGTCAGGGTGTAAGTGGGAATGATGAGGGTAACCCCGTTATCAACTTTGTCTATGTCAGCGCCTCCATCTGGTGGGGACTCTTTTGCTATTGTGTGTGTGAGTGTGTGTCTGTGTGTGAGACTATAGGGTGACAGTTGTCTGGTGAGCAGGAAGTGCAGTCTGGGTCAGACTGGTGACACATACAGCACAGTCTTCAATATCTGTCTCGCTGTCACTTCCTGTATGTGCTGTCTGTGTCTCTGTGTGTGTGTGTGTGTGTTAGTGTGTGTGAGTTCATGAACAGTGAAAAACTTTTCTTACATTTTTGGTCTCGATCACTTTAACGTCCCCTCATCGCCATCTTTCTGCAGACTGATGTTCACCGTCACAGACCATATATGGCGGTCAGTGGTGGATACAATGTGCCACAGTTGATGAAGAGACGCAGGCAGTGATGGCACAGGAAGGAACATCCAGTCAGGAAGCCATGAGTCGCAGCGTTAGTCTTCTGCTGCCAACTAGTGGAGAAAATGTGAAACGATCAGCAGAATCTCCCCTGGTCTGAGCAGAAGGTTAAGGCAGAAATGATGAGAAATGGTGAGAGTAGAAATAACTTTTACCTAAAAAATCTTGTAAATAAAATAAAATAAAAACGTTGTTATTGCGCAAAAATTATAAAAGCACGGCCAAGAGACTCTGTTATTGACCGGTGTCTGTCCAGATTGCCATGAAAAGACGGGTCAGACAACAGAGACCACAGGGTTTAGATTCAAAGACAAAAATGACCATTCAACTACAAAACTAATAAATAAATGAATTCTCAGCTCTAAATTTACTTTTAAAAGTTTGATTCCTTCTCTCCTGTCCATGAGAAACTAACATACCCTGGCACTTTACGCCTTTGTGTCCAGAACGTCTTCAGGGATTAGAAATGTTTTCTGTTTGTGGTTGAGGTTTGAAATGGTCACTTTCCTTTGACACTGTAATGTTGTGTCACGGTTTGTTCTATCTGTGCCAAAACACACAGGCCCAGAAACAGCGATATCCATCTGACACACACACTCACACACACACGCACGCTAACAAACCACAGACAGCGTTAACGTCGCCAACCTTCCATTCAAAGCTCTTTTATTTTTTCTCCATTCTAAAGTTGTTTATTTTTTCCAAGTACTACTGCTACAGAGTATATTCAGTGTACCTGTACTACAACGCAGAGACATCATTCATATGATCCAATCCTGATGGAACTCAGGGTGGACACAGTCATTGATTAGGCAGAGTGCTCCCTGCTGGCAGTTATCATTCAAGCACGTCTACAGTCAGCCTACACACACACACACACACACATTATTCATACAATTGAAGGACGGAGCACAGTTCCTCTGGACCCCACACTGTATGTGTGTATAAAAGAGAGCAGAGATGAGAACAGTTGGTCTAACAAAGTAAATAAAACGGCAGCGTTCAACGTCATAAAAGAATGTTCTAGTCATTGGAGGTCAAAAGGTCAGACTCAGACAGTGGCTCCATGGACAGATTGTGGGACATAGAGAAAAATGGAGGTGAATAAGGGAGCGTGGTTCAAGTTACGACTACTGTAGGTTGTGGAAAATATTTGGTTGACGCTTGGACAAATAAAGAAAGATAATTATATTTTACTACTTTATTTATTTTACAGATTTAAGATCTGGATTCAAATCACTTCAAAAGATATTTTCCAGAATGCAAGGGGATTTTCAACAATTTGCTTTTCCCCAAAGACATTTTTAAATTTTTATTTTAAAATTTCAAATCATTATTCGGTACATGTTAAAAAGAAAATGCTCTCATGTTTGCATCATTGGCATCAACCATGAAGCTAGGGCTCAGGTTGAGTAAATGGGAGGTGATGCAGATTTCTAAGAAGAATGGCCATTAAGGTGTGTGTGTGTGTGAGGTCAGCTGATCATCATCATCAGTGATAATGTAGAAACAGCTCAGTGCAGTGTGTGTGTGTGTCTGAGTCGTGGTCAGTGTGAGTGACGCTGCCCATCAAAGTTCTGCCGGACAGTAAGAGATGCAAATGGCCTCAATAACATATCTGTTATTTTCAAATCTAATACAGATGATTCAGGGCCCTCTCACCCATAAAACGTCCCAGTAAATGGCCACCGTTATTTATACAGAACCATAACAATAACCTGACTCAGGGTTAAGTGTTCCTAACAGTTATAAATGAGCGGCCGCCTGTTACTTTTGTTTATTGGCATGCTCTCTCTCTCTGGTCCCCTCACTGGATCCACTAATGTAACACGTCTCACTCAGCACGCTGAAAAAATGAAATTAGACTCTGACATGGGCCCCGCATCATCCACCGTGGAGCCCGCACCGTGAACTCTTCACCCGGCCACGGCACGGCGGAGAGGGGAAGCACGGCAGCAGGAGCACAGCCTGGAAAACGGGGAGGGAGGGACGGAGGGATGGACGCAGGGAGGAGGCAGCGCGCTCCTGGAGCTACAGGCGCGCTCCCGAGGTCTTGCAAAATAAGTCATTCAAGTCTGCCATCTATCGACGGGAAAGTGGAACGACTCCGTCATATGTACGTCCTCTAACATGCAGGCTGTGTAGAACAGGATTTTTTTTTTTACACCAATCAGAGTACTGTTTTCATTCATCTCTCTATAGAAGCCAATTATTATTTTTCATGGCGTTGTCTGTATATATAATACTTCCATTTAGGGTAAAATCCTTCATGCACAGTCATGTGTTTTGCACCGTTACAATAAACCATTATTTATAGAATAAATGTGAAAATGGACAGTAATCATATACGATACTATACGGTTCGATACGATACCATACGATACAACACTTTTGTCAGTTCCTACTGACGTACATTCTGTGCCTGCACTTCACTACAACAACAACAAACATACAGTATTAAATCAACAGTACAGACACAGTTCCATCTAAAGGATACGCGTTCATTCTAATTCATAAGTTCAGAGAATGGCTGCCATGGTGCACACCATTAGTTTGTGCTGCCAGTAACTAGGTCAGTTCTAAAGGGGAGGCGGGGGTTGGGGAGNGGTATGTTCTGGTTTTGGTTAAATGATTAGGTTCTTGTATGCAAAGCAAAACGTTCTAGATACAACTGTTATGCTTGAAAATGATGTGTTGAATATAACATTGCAGTATAAAAAGGCACTGGGGAAATAATGACATTTCTCAGGGGGTGAATAATAATAATGTCCTGATACTGTATGTATAGAACTATACAGTCCAGAACCTGCTGACGGTCCAGCCTTGTTCTTTGCACCCAGGACCATTTAAGTCAGCCGTAAATTAGACTAAACATTAAAACAAATAAAAGTCCTAATGGATGATTGTGTTAAAGGTACAGTGCGCATTATCTAGCGGCACAAATGAATATTTGTGCTGTTATTAATCCTGCCCAGGCATGCTGGGAAACTATAGAAGCCACCAGTTATTGGAAAAAATGCTAAAAGTAATTGAAATTAAACAAAATATAGAAATGTTGACAAGTCAGTTTGGTGCCAAATGCCAAGAACCAGCCCTGGATGTGGGCTGCACATGCATACAGCTTGTCTGCACAGAGAAGAACTAGAAACAGAGGGGGTCAAAGGTCACTCTATGAGGCCAGTTTTATGGCCCTCACTCGGGACTCATATCCTGTCTTTAACAGTAAAAGTGAAGGCGACGGGCTCAGAGCAGTGCGTCTGTTTCCTGCAGGCTGCACAAGTTCACGTTTTAGTGTTGCTCTGTCGTAGCTGCTAGTTCATTTGACAAAAGCACAGTTGATAAAACCAGCAACCATTCACAACATCATCTGCACAAATAGGTTTTTTTGTTTTTGTTTTTTTTTTTAACCACAACCTCTGTGCCAGTAGCCAACATCACAATATTTACATATCTTTTTAATGGCGTGAGGGATAGCATTTCCCTGGCGGCCCATGATGCAACGCTGGATCATTTTACGGTTTGTTTATGATACGAGCAAAACAAACAGATTCCTGCCTGATATCCGACCCATCAGAGAACGTACCACGCTCTCCGTGGAGATGAACAAAATCACTGCGTCGTTTCAGCCTCGCTTCACGGTGGAAAGCCCCGTCGTCTCGTTACGTTTTCTCTTACATTTCACTTTAATGGACTTCGAGTTCTTAATGGTTTGCAGAATTTACATAAAGGGGGGCGGGAAGGTCAATCCTCAGCCTATATGTTTCTCAATATTGCTGCT